AACATGATTTGAATTGTCTGGCTTAAGGGGATCGAGTTACCCAGTGGTGACTGCAAAGGGTAAACCAAATGTCTGGTGATTTATAGGAAAACCAGCACCTTCTCTCAAAAGTAGCTGTCAATTTACTCCTTAAGGCCACCCGGGTATGGGATTGAGCAATAGCAAGGCTGCCAGGACTTGTGAACTGCTTTTGGAGCGGCTGTCACCTGCTGTGACTTGTCAAGATAATAGACACAATTGCCCTTGAAATCCAAGTTGGTTCTGCAGCTAAAGCTTTTCACAAGTGTCAACACTGAAAACACAAGCACAGGTTTCTGGTCTTTGCCTCCAGGACACTGGTCAAGACATGTGGATAGGCTTGCTCAGAAATAAAAAACAAGCTTGAACTTGAATTGTAGTGAATCCCTGCACCTCCAGTTAAAGTTTCTGTTCTCAAGAGAGAGAAGCAATCACAGCACATGCTGGCGAATAGTTAGAGTTGAACTGAGCTTTGCAGAAGTGTACCCTCGCTCAGGACATTGTGATCCAAGAGGCTCACTGGTATTCTTAGAACAGAAAAATCTTGCAATTGTGTGCATGGCCAGGTTCCCCAGAGATATCCTGCAGTTAACACAGAATAGAGACCCTGCAAGGAAAATCTTGCTTACCAAAAATTAAGGATGCAGAGCCCACCTACAGGATGATGAGCTGTAGCAGCACTGAGCAGTTAATGCAGATCGTGGAAAGTCATCAAAGGGCTCTGATGAGATAAAACTCAACAGAAAGGATAAATTATTCATCTTGAGTCTTTTGGGAAGTTGGAAATAAAGACTGTCTGATCAGCTAGGAGATTATATGTCCAGGAAATAAAAAATCTTGACTTGATGGAAGAAACAGAATAAATGAGGTCAGGTGTTCTGGAAATGGCTCCTGGAGCTTATGCATTCTTCCTAGACAAGGCAGCCCGTCAGCTTTTTCCAGACTCCATGTCCCCATTAATAGAAAGGGAATGATTCTGCCACACAGAATTGTTGGAAGAGCAAAAGCAATCATTTGTAAGGAAGTGCCTGGATAAGGGATTCATTTGTGTGTGGAGAATTAAATCTCTGAATCCTTAGAATTATTTTTGGATGGGAAATAAATCAAAAATAACTACTACCAATCTCCAGCAAACGAGGCTGTGAGGCACACAATTTATTATTGTTGCTTTCAGAACAGCCAGCTGTGCTCCCCAGGTTTGTGCATTATTGGTTTCTGGAATCTTTTATGAGATTTTAAAATGCTTTCATTTTTGTTGATTTGCTATTACTTAACTATTTCCAAGAGAACCATAGAGCTGACTGTTAAAATCTGTCATGTTCTAACCCAAGGAGGATTTTTCTAGAGAAGTGGATTACTCTCCACACCATTCAGTAGTTTCTATTTCTAAAGAGTTTGCTATCAAGGTGCTTCAAGTCTAAGGCTCAAGAAAGCCAAGACTCTTGGCCAGTAGCTGTTGATATTGATCTCTAATGTTTTTGTTAAAGTAAAACCATTAGCTGGTGTTGACAGTTTTAGGTGCTACTCTTCCTTTTGCTCCTCCTGGGTCTGGACCTATGAAGCAAATACACAAGAATACTCCAAGGAGTATTTATCAAGCAACCACATGCTAGGTAAAGAGATGGTTCACCATGGAAGATCTAGGCAGGCTTAGAAGCCTTGGTTTAGACCCGTTTTCTTTTGCTTGTTCTCCTTTGACCTTGGGCAGCTTTCTGTCCCTCTCTGAGGTTCCACTTCCCTGTTTGCATGATGTGGTGCACAAACCTGATAGTGAGAGTAACATCCTGTTTGCTTTTGAAACTACTCACTCGAGTCCCACCCACCTTTCAAGCAAGAAATCCAGTGTGTGTCTTATCTCCCTCATTGTCCAAAAATCAGGATTTCCTCAGCCCACATGTGGGGCAGGCCTGACTCCAGTCTCAGGGTGCTTTTACTTCTCATGGCCACACGGTGTCACCATTGGAACTTCATCCTGCCCAGCCACCCTTCACAGAAGGCCTTGCTATTTTCTAGTAGTGCCTTGGGTAAAGGGGTGAAGGGGTGGCTTGAACCTCAGAATTAAATCCCTCTTGGTTCACACTCATATCCTCTGCAATGGCTCATAAAAGCACAGCATGTCATGGTTGGTTTTTGACCACACAGTGTGCCAGAACTAACTCAACTAATTGGTACTATGTGGCAGGTACTACTTTAGAGTTTTGGGATATATCATTGAACAAAAAGACCTCTTATCCCCTCAAGGAGCTTAAGGTGATGGCACTTACCACATGCCTGAGCCCAGGTCACCAACAAAGACATCCCCTTCTCTCTTTTTCTTGATTATTTTTTTATTATTTTGACAGGCAGAGTGGACAGTGAGAGAGAGACAGAGAGAAAGGTCTTCCTTTGCCGTTGGTTCACTCTCCAATGGCCGCCGCTGCAGCCGGCGCACCGCGCTGATCCGATGGCAGGAGCCAGGATCCAGGTGCTTTTCCTGGTCTCCCATGGGGTGCAGGGCCCAAGCACCTGGGCCATCCTCCACTGCACTCCCTGGCCATAGCAGAGAGCTGGCCTGGAAGAGGGGCAACCGGGACAGAATCCGGTGCCCCGACCGGGACTAGAACCCGGTGTGCCGGCGCCGCAAGGTGGAGGATTAGCCTATTGAGCCACGGCGCCGGCTTAACATCCCCTTCTCTCTTGATGAGTTTTGCTTTGGTAGGTTACCCGTTCCATCATGGCTTGGACCAAATCTCCTTCTCCTCATGCACCATCAGTGTACATGTCTGATAGGATGGCTGATTTTACTAACCCTAACCCTATACACACACACACATACACATTCACACAATATGATGGAATGAACCCAACCCGCACAGTGTCATTGCAGTAAACATCAGGGCTGAAATTCTCATTCAGTTGGTCAAGGGCAGGCCCGAGATCACATTTTAACAGGTTGAGATTTCTGCTTGGGAGAATGCTTAAAGGGCCAGGCAGCAAGGCACTTTCTTGGTCCCTGAAAGCAAATTGGTGACCTTTCCTTTCTACTGTGCTTATGAGAAAGAGGGGGAGGTAGAATGTTGGGATGCTGTTAGGATCCCGGATGCCTCTGATAGTAAGACAGTCTGAGTTCAGAAATTTTAAAATGTGGGGGACAAAAAAGAGACCCACATTTTAGAATTGATGAAATCAGGCATTCTGGGTGGCAGTTGAATGTAATGGTTATGAGCACTTGGTGTGGAATCCAACAGACTCAACCCCACTACTCCACTTCTGTGGCCATGAGTGGGTTACTGCACATGTATAAAATTGAATTTACTCACCTATAATATGACCAGAACTATGAATGCTGCTTGGTGAATAGTACTGACCTGGGCAGCATGAGTGTTTACTTCTCTGCCCAGAAAAATAAAACCCATAACCTGAGCACTTTTGTATTCCCTTAAGTAGTCCATTTCTCTCTGAAGTAGAAGAATGGGGATTAAACTGCCATAAAAGTTTCAGACCCTACATTTTGCCCTGTATAATGCTTAACTTTTTATGATTTTATGAGAATGTATCATGCATTCATTGTATAAGCACAAATGAATGCATACATATATTCATTTTTGTTATTTTTATGGCAAAAAAAAGTAAGCTAAATCATTGAAGTGTGCAGTCTGTGTGTGGGGCATTTGGTGAATCTTGATAAAGCCTGTGGCCCCTTTACAGCATTAAAGAAGCCGAGAATACCAGTGTCCAGCACCAGGGGGCTCAGTGACAGCTGCACATTTGAGTGTTTGCCTTCTGAAAGTGGGCTCTCCTTTCTCATTTACTGCTGTTTCTGGAACCCAGAGCTGTGCTTAGAATATAATAGAGACTCCGTAAACATTAGATGGCTATAGAAATGGCTTTTTCTTTAACTTCAGACTACTTCTTTCAGGTGGTCAGATGGAGGGGTGGGAATGAGCTGGCAGTAACTGGCTTTCAGTACACAGAAAGTCAATGAGGCCTGCAGCATAGAAACATGATGCCTGAAGTTCCTAGTTCAATCTCTAGGCAAGTCCTAGAGCAAGGTGTATGTTTTAGGAATGTTTTCATATCTTTTCAATGGAGTTTTGTTGAGGCAGGCATTGTGACACAACAGGTTAAGCTACAGCAGGCTATCCCTGGAACTAGTGCTTGGGTAGCTGGTATTCCATGTTGGAGTGCCTGGGATCAAGTACCACCTTCATTTCCCATCCAGCTTCCTGGTAATGTGACTAGAAAGCAGCAGGTGATAGCCCAAGTGCTCAGGTTCCTGTCACTCATATGGGAGACCTAGATGGATGGAATTCCTGGCTCTCCTTCTTCTGTCTGGGCCAGTCCCAGCTTGCTGTGGGCATTTGGCAGGGTGAACCAATGGATGGAAGCACTCTCTCCCCTTTCTCTCCCTCTCTCTTCTGCCTTTCAAATAAATAAAATAAATAATTAAAAACTTTTAGAAACCAGTGTTTTGTTGCTGGTACTGATGGAGTACCATAGCAAATAAAATTATGGACTTCATGGAACTTTCTCAAACGAAGAGTATACCCTGAGCAGTGGTGTTAGCACAGCACACTCCCTAGGGAGGGAGAGGAGGAAGGAAAGGCCTTTGGCTTATTCCCCATTATCTCAGCAGCCCTTGGGTGCTCCTCATACCAGGCAGGGGTTTACTCTAGGAAAACACTAGAAGCTAACCTCCCCTGGGGAAATCCCCTGTGTATACTTGACAGCAGAAGGAAAAAGGAGAGGGAAGGAGGGAGAAAGGGTGAGCCCTCAGTTTTCCTTCTCACTGGTCAGTTCTGGATGGGACTTTACAAATTCCAAGAATGTTCTTAGAGTGTTGGGGGGGGGTTGCAGAGTTGGGGGAAGGGGTTGCCTACTGCTTATCTTACCAATCCTTTGTGTTACTCAAGTTAGTTTGAAAATACTGTGCATCAAGAAGTTTCAGAAGTGAACGTCTCCAGCCCAGCTAAATTTTCCTTTCCTATTTCCTCACTTTCCAGGTAACCTTGTATAAGGACTCTGACATGGAGGACTTTGGGTTCAGTGTAGCAGATGGCTTGCTGGAGAAAGGAGTATATGTTAAAAATATTCGCCCAGCTGGGCCAGGCGATCTTGGCGGCTTAAAGCCCTATGACAGGCTCTTACAGGTAAGATGTCAGGTGGAATTTTAATTCCTTGCAGCTAATGATAATTGGAATTTCTTCCAAATCTTCCTGAACATTTGGGGTCCTGTGCTCCTTTTCCCCCTCAAACATTGTCATCTAGACTTTGGAACTGGCAATGGTGAGCAGCCAAGTATGAATGTTCAGCTATGTAAATTCTATCTCAGTCCAAAAAGTTCTCTACATCCTTATCAGCTTTGGGCATTGAGTTCAAAGCCATATTTCCCACTTTAATGCTTATTGATTTCCAGAGGTGTGTTGACTGATTCTTCATCAATTAGGTTTTTTCTTTTAGTTTAAGTCATTTGTATTTTATTTCTACATTTACATTAATTCTCTGAGGAAAAGAGCTGGTTTTTTTTTTCCTTTTAAATCACACAACTTATCTGGATTAATGCTGTAAGTACTTGGCAACCCTGATGTTATTACTTAAAATTTTGTTCATTTTTCTTTTTTATCCCAAAGGAACCTTTTATTTAATGAGTATAAATTTCATAAGTATGACTTTAGTAATATAATGATTCTTCCCATCATACCTACCTTCCCACCCCACCACCTTCTCCCTCCCCTAGTCCCACTCCTATTCTCCATTAAGGAAAAAAAAAAAAAAAACACCCTGTCCCTTGACAGTCATAACAAGGGCTGTTCAAGTCACTGCTTCTCAAAGTGTCAATTTCACTTCTACAGATTTCCTTTTAGGTGTTGTAGTAGTTATCACAGATCAGGGAGAGCATATCGTATTTGTCCCTTTAGGACTGACTTATTTCACTAAGTATGATGTTTTCCAGATTCAACCATTTTGTTGCAAATGACTGGATTTCATATTTTTTATACTGCTGTGTAGTATCCCATAGTGTACATATCCCATAATTTCTTTATACAGTCTTCAGTTGATGGGTATTTAGATTGATTCTATGTCTTAGCTACTGTGAATTGAGCTGCAATAAACATTGAGGTGCAGATAGCTCATTTGTTTACTGATTGCATTTCCCTAGGGGTAATTCCCAGGAATGGAATGCTTGAGTCATATGGTAGATTTTTGAAGTATCTCCATACTGTCTTCCCCAGTGGCTTTACCAGTTTATATTCCCACCAAGAGTGGATTAGTGTACCTTTTCCCCCACATCCTTACCAGCATCTGTTTGTTGATTTATGTATGAAAGCCATTCTAACTGAGGTGAGGTGAAACCTCATTGTGGTTTTGATTTGCATTTCCCTGACAGCTAGTGATCCTGAATATTTTTTCATGTGTCTTTGGTCATTGGATTTCCTCTTTTAAAAAATGTCTGTTTAAGTCCTTTGCACATCTCTTAACTGGGTTGTTTTGTTCTTGTGGAGTTTCTTGATCTCTTTACAGATTCTAATTATTAATCCTTTATAAGTTGCGCAGTTTGCAAATAATCTCTTCCATTCCATCAGTTGTCTCTTCACTTTTCTGTTTCTTTTGCAGTACAGAAACTTCTCAATTTGAAGTAATCCCATTTGTTAATTTTGGCTTTCACTGCCTATGTTTTTGGGGTCTTTTCCAAGAACTCTTTGCTTGTGCCAATGCCTTGCAGGGTTTCCCCAATCTTCTCTAATAATTTGAGATTTAGATCTTTATCCATTTTGAGTGGATTTTTGTGTAAGGTGTAAGGTAGGAATCTTGCTCCATACTCCTGCAAGTAGAAATCCAGTTTTCCTGGCACCAGTTGTTGAAGAGACTATCCTTGCTCCAGGGATTGGATTTCGCTTCTTGGTCAAATGTCAGTTGGTTGTAGATGTTTGGATTGGTTTTTGGTGTTTCTGTTCTGTTCCATTGGTCTATCCATCTTTTTTGTGCCAGTACCAGGCTGTTTTGGTTACAACTGCCTTGTAGTATATCTTGAAATCTGGTATTGTGATGCCTCTGGCTTTGTTTTCATTGTATAAGATTGCTTTAGCTATTTGAGGTCTCTTGTGCCTCCATATGAATTTCAGCATCATTTTTTTTTCTAGATCTGAGAAGAATGTCTTTGGTATTTGATTGCTATCGCATTGAATCTGTATTGCTTTCAGAAGAATGGACATTTTGATGATATTGATTCTTCCAACCCATGAACATGGAAGATTTTTCCATTTTTTTGTATCTTCTATTATTTTCTTTAATATAATCTCATCATAGAGATCTTTGATATACTTGGTTAAGTTTATTCCAAGGTATCTGATATTTTTTGTACCTATTGTGAATGGGATTGATCTTAGAAGTTTTTCTCAGCCATGGAATTGCCTGTGTATACAAAAGCTGTTGAGTTTTGTGCACTGACTTTATATCCTGCTGCTTTACCAAACTCTTCTATGAGTTCCAGTAGTCTCCTAGTGGAGTGTTTTGGATCCCCCTACATATAGATTCATGTCATCTGCAAATAGGAAAAGTTTAACTTCCTCTTTCCCAATTTCTATCTCATTGATTTCTTTTTCTTGCCTAAGGGTTCTGGAAAAAACATCCAGGACTATACTGAATAGCAGTGGTGAGAGTGAACATCCCCGTCTGGTTCTGGTTCTCAGTGGGAATGCTTCCAGCTTTTTCCCATTCAACAGGACACTGGCCATGGGTTTGTCATAAATTGCCTTGATTGTGTTTATGAATGTTCCTTCTAAACCCAATTTGCTTAGTTTTATCATAAAAGGGTGTTGTATTTTATCAAATGCTTTCCCTGAATCAATTGATATCATATTTTTTCCAGCAGTTTGTTAATGTGATGTATCAAATTGATTGATTTGCAAATGTTGAACCATCCCTGCATACCAAGGATAAATACCACTTGGTCTGGGTGGATGATCTCTCTGATATGTTTTTGGATTTTATTGGCTAGATTTTGTTGAGGATGTTTGCACATATGTTCATTAGGGAAATTGGTCTGTGATTCTCGCTGTTACATCTTTTTCAGGTTTAGGAATTAATGTGATGCTGGCTTCATAGAAAGAAGTTGGGAGGATTCCCTCCCTTGCAGTTGTTTTGAAGAGCTTGAGAACTGGATTTAGTTTTTTGTCTGGTAGAATTCAGCAGGGAAGACATCTGGTCACGAGATTTTCTTTGGTGGGAGGGTCTTTATTACTGATTCAATTTCCATCTTATTAATGGGTCTGTTTAGGTTTATTGTATCTTCATGACTTAATATAAGTAGGTTGTATGTGTTTAGGAATCTATCCATTTCTTCTAGGTTTCCGAGTTTGTTGGCATGCAGCTCTTTTGGGTAATTTCTGATGATCCTTTAAATTTCCGTGATTCTGTTGTTACATTTCCTTTTTCATCTCTAATTTTATTGATTTGGGTCTTCTCTCTCCTTCTTTTGGTTAGTTGGGCCAATGGTGTGTCAATTTTATCTTTTTCAAAAAACCAGCTCATAATTTTGCTGATCTTTTGTATTTTTTTTGTTATGTATTGTTCATTTTCAATTTTGTTGATTTCTTCTCTAATTTTAATTCTTTCTTTTCTCCTACTAGTTTTGATTTGGATTGTTGCTGTTTTTCTAGATCCTTGAAATGCATAGCTAGCTCATTTATTTGATGCCTTTCCAATTTCTTTATGTAGGCATCTATTGTTATAAACCTTCCTCTTAACACTGCTTTTGCTGTATCCTTTAAGTTTTGATATGTTATGTTGTCATCTTCATGTTTCCAGAAATAATTTTATTTCTATGACACATTGTTCATTCAGGAGCATGTTGTTCAGTCTCCCTGTGTTTGCATATGTTTTAGAGATTCCTGGGTTGCTGATTTCCAACTTCATTCCGCTGTGGTCTGAGAAGATGCGTAGTTATGAACTTGATTTTTTTTTATTGTGCTGAGACTTGCTTTATGGCCTAGTATGTGGTCAATCCTAGAGAATGTTCCATGCACTTGTGAGAAGAATGTGTATTTTACACCTTTAAGATGAAAAGTTGTGTAGATATCTGTTATGTCTATTTGGTCTATAATGTTGATTAAATCTACTGTTTCCTCGCTGATTTTCTGTCTTGTTGATCTGTTTGTTGATGAAAAGTGAAGTATTGAAATCCCCCATTAAATCCTTTAATATTTGTTTCAAATGTCCAGGTGCCCTGTATTAGGTGTATATATGTTTTCATAGTTATATCTTACTGTCGAATTGATCACTTTTCCCCCCATAACCTCCCTCCCACCCACAACCATCCCATTTCCTGCTCCCTCTCTCATCACATTCATATCAAGATTCACTTTCAATTATCTTTATATACAGAAGATCAATTTAGTATATACTAAGTAAAGATTTCAACAGTTTGCACCCACACAGAAACACAAAGTATAAAGTACTGTTTGAGTAGTAGTTATACCGTTAATTCACATAGTACAACAACACATTAAGGACAGAGATCCTACATGGGAAGTAAGTGCACAGTAACTCCTGTTTTTGATTTAACAATTGACACTTTTATTTATGGTGTCAGTAATCACCCGAGGCTCTTGTCATGAGTTGCTAAGGCTATGGAAGCCTCTTGAGTTCGCCAACTCCAATCTTATTTAGACAAGGCCATAGTCAAAATTGAAGTTCTCTCCTCCCTTCAGAGAAAGGTACCTCCTTCTTTGATGGCCCATTCTTTCCACTGGGATCTCACTCACAGAGATCTTTCATTTAGGTCATTTTTTTTTTGCCAGAGTGTCTTGGCTTTCCATGCCTGAAATACTCTCATGGGTAGAGTATTTACCCTGTTAAATATAAGTGTGGGAATAATTGAGGGAGGAGATGTACAGTTCCGCACATGCTCTATTGGACTTACCTCTAACGGTAGAGTTAGAAACGTGCCAGGGAATTCCAATTCAATCCCATCAAGGTGGCATGTACCAATGCCATCTCAATAGTCAAAGTGATCAGTTACAGTTCATAATTGATCATAATGATAGGATTAAGAGCCAAAGGGGAAAAAAAAGAGCCAAAGGGATCACATAAACGAGACTGGTGTCTGCTAATACTAACTGATATAATTAAAAAGGAGAGAACGATCCAA